TCCAATCTTCGAAACAGTTGAAAAAGTCGACTTCAGGGATGGCCCTCAGCTCCGTCTTCGCTGCGGCTTCAATCTGCTCTATCGTCTCAAAACGGTGTCCCCGGAGCGGTCTTTTGAGCTTGTTGAACAGCCAGAAGTCGCACGGTGCCAAATCAGGTGAATACGGTGGTTGTGGAACGATATGAGTCGAGTTTTTGGCGAAATGTTCACGAAGAATGATCGCATTGTGAGACGATGCATTATCATGGTGCAAAAACCAAGAGTTGTCTTTCCACAATTCCGGCCTCTTTTGGCGGATAGCGTTACGCAAACGACGCATAACACTCAAATAATATTCCTTGTTGACTGTTTGACCCGGGGGAAGGAACTCATAATGCACAACACCCCGATAATCGAAGAAAACAGTCAACATGACCTTGATTTTTGAGCGACTTTGGCGCGGTTTTTTTGGTCTCGGCTCACCTTTGGCACGATATTCGCTCGATTGGTCGGTTGTTTCCGGGTCATAAGCATAGATCCAAGTCTCGTCTCCAGTGATCATGCATTTCGTCTTGTCAATGTAGTCAGAAAGCATTGTTTCACACACGTCAACTCGACACCTTTTTTCCAAAAAATTCAATGATTTCGGTACCAGTCGAGATTTGACACGTTTGAGGCCCAAAACATCCTTCAAAATGGTATTGACTGAGCCTCTCGATATGCCAATATCATCAGCAAGGTCTCTAATCGTTAATCGACGGTTTTCCAACACCAAATCTTTAATTTTTTGGACGTGAGCTTCGTCGGTTGAGGTTGATGGTCGCCCGACACGCTCTTCGTCTTCGACACATTCACGGCCTGCTTGGAACTCACTATACCACTTGTAAACATTTTTTTTTCGACATAGCCTCATCACCAAAGGCTTTCTGCACCATCCTCAACGAATCCGCAGCAGAAAATTGATTCCGCAAACAAAATTTAATGCAAATTCTTTGATCAACAAATTTCGACATCGCAAAAAACGAGAAATTCACTTTTAGCAGTCCACAAAACGAAGCGTATCTCAAACACTAATGAATATTTTGACGTGTAATTTGGCAGGGATGTCAAAGACAGTCCTACCAACCTAAAAATAAAAGGATTTTTTCAAATTCCCTAGCGCGCTAAATTTTAAATGCAATGTCACCTTACTTTTTGGACACAGTAGTATAACGCTCGCAAATTCTAAGTTCGATCGTACCAAGGCGAAGTAAAGAATTTTGATTATATCCTTTTCAAAATAGAATGATTGTCTTTTAACAAATTGTAGCGCTGCATTCGCTTTATTGCATACATACTCGATGTGCCGATTGAATCCTTATCATTGATGCAGCTCTCAATCGTTTTATGAACGCATTGCCCCGTGGCAACTTCAATTACAACTCGCCTCTCTTTCACGATCACTGCGATTACTGCAACCGCGAGCTTGTGAGAGCAATATAATCTTGTTTATGAGCGCTAAATTATGATGTCACAGTAGAAAAAGTTGCGAGCCTAATCAATTCGGCTACGAGTGATTCACGATCGACAAGTCAATCGTCATCATCATCAAATTATGTAATTTAAATGAGATTGTTTACGGCCAAGAGCCGTGCCAAAATTCGATGAAATATACGCCGTTTCGATGGAAAATCCAATTGTAAATGAATTTGAATGGTATTAAAGTGTGATAAACACAGAAGGAATGTCGGTAGCTCGCTTCTGTTTATGTTTGGCATCATTTTGCGAAAGTATTGAATTCAACGAAAAAATGTGCAAATTACGGCTGCATTGTCATCGAAATTTACAAATGATACGAGCAAAAAAAGAGAAACAAATTGAAATTGGATCTACCGGACGGTTTGTTTATTCTGGTGGTCGTGGACAATCAATGTAGTATGATTCATCCGGTGAACAAAACAGTAAACTCATGCTAAATGGTCAGATGATTCAGCGGCGAGAATGTCTATTTTTCATGGCTTTTAATATGGAATTAACAGCACCTCTAAGCAGCAGATCTAAAGATGCGCACACAATTCTTATTTAGATAGTGTTGTGCATCAATTGTAATTATTATGAAGCCTTTTTCAGTACATGTTCAAATGACGCAAGAACAGAACAAAACAAAAATGCGTGCTAAATGTACCAATCCACTAAAAGTAAACAAAACTACAAATATTTCCGAGAACGCACCGAAACCGAACGAAATGAAAACGATGACGAGGCAACGGGAGAAGAAGCTGCAATGAAAAAGAGGTGGAAACGTTGCATCGCGCCAACATTTTAGCCAGTTCGCGAAGCAATGCGATTCATCGCAACACTATAAATATTTCTTTAATAGCAACTTAGGAAATAAAATGTCATATAAATAAAAGTCATTTTCGATGTGCATACAATACTTTATGGCGACAGCGGCACACACGCACACACAGCATGGATATTCACAACGAGCAACTGATTGACTCTGTCTCTCTGTGTCCGTCTCACTGGCTGCCATCGCACACACCAACGATGCTGATGATGATGATAATGATGATGATGATGCAACGAAGTGTCTTCTCACTTTTCTCCAGTTCTTTAATTTTTCTGTTGACTGATTTGAGCTGGCAGAAACACCAAGAATCTCAATGTTTTTTTCTTCTTCCTTTTGTTCAGTCAGCACAAGTATTTTCTTTCAGTTTTTTTTTTCTCTTCCTTTAGTGTTTTGCTTTCCCATTGCTGTGTATGTTTGTTTCATCTTATTCATAAGTCATGCATTTGCTCACGCACTTGGACGTCTGATTCGATGCAAACCATTTTACACATTCAAACCGATAAAATGAGGCAAGAATAGCTTCATTTGACCTAATCATCTCGGGTGTTTTATGTTGGTGTTGCTTATTTTTGCTCGTTGCCTCACTCTCTCTCTCTCTCCCTATCCAAATTCATTGCCAACACATTCATACACACTCCATATGGATGTATGTGGGCCCTCACAAGTGCATTTAAGTTGTATTGGCCGAAGAACCTGTTGTTTTTAATGCTGCTTGTTCTTCTCATACGCAAGTGCATCAATTAAAATTGCCGTTAAGATAAGCCGATGAAGGATTTATCTAACTTATTAACACAACAATGGCAAATTAAATATAATACCCATATGAAGCGGTGCGCAAATAAAGCGGGAAGAGATGCAATGGGACACATTGAGCTCTCGACGTGGTTTGATATTGGCAAGAGTGTGAGCGAGCGAGCGAGCGAGAGAGAGAATTCGGTGGAATTTGGTTCGGTGTTGAAAGAAGAAATGAACAAACACATTGAAAATATTAATGGCACCGAGTGACCGTTCGTTTGCAAGTTATTCAAATGGAAACGTCGAACGCACAATATTATATGCGCCATCGATGCGAAAACTGTTCTTAAGTCTCGCACTAAATTTGGAACCGCACACACTTGAGTCCGTTATCATTGCAAATGCCTATGAGCCAATGAGTTGAACAAAGAGAGAGATAGAGAAGAATTTATCTATTCAGCTCTTTCTCGTCCATCAAGCCGTTACTATACATTACCATTGATTTCAAAACAGTTTTCCCCATCGCATCAACGATTCGAATGAACGAAACGAATTCTTTTTTTTTTGCTGTCGCTCCGAAGAGAGTGCAAAAAATTGATTCTTCTCTCGTGTGTAATCCTGGCCATTGTTTGCATCGATCGACTGTGGGAGTTTGAAACGCTAATAATTTAATGGTTTTTATTTTCTCCCGGTTTTTCATTCATTTGCATTGCGTTCATTTATTTATTTTTTTCTGCTAATTTTTTTTTTCCTTTCTTTGCACATTAATTTTTTTTTCGTTTGCTGCATCGAAAGAAGAGAAATCGAACAGTGACAATAATTATGTAAATGTAGATAGCTGCGAAGATCGAAGCTAAGAAAGTTGACGAAAAAAAAGAGAGAAGAGAAACATACCGGCGAAGTAATGAGAGGAAAAAACAAAATTAAAACTAAAAGCCAGCGAAAATCTCGTAACGGCTATTAAAATGACAATGAAATGACATTTTTAATAAGATTTTTGTATGCGTTTTGTGACATTCTTGGAATGCTTCTTCTTCTTCTTATTTTTTCTGTTTGTTCTGCACACGCGTGCGCATTTACTCATTGCATGCAAAAAAAAACCAAAGGACCAATGAACCGGGGTAATAATGCAAATCTCGCATGTGATGCAACTGAGAGGAACAAACCCAACAACAAACAGCCGGACAAATTGGATGGTAGAAAAAAAAGCACGAGAATAATATAAGAATAAGAATAACAAACGCAAGTAAAAGGACCAGAGCACACCAAGAAAAACTAAATTTATTGTTATGGTTGTGAATTTATTTGTAAATCGTTCTACCTCAATTGCCGTTTGGCAAGGTTGCAACTTGCAAGTGGCTGGTGCATCCGATGCTTTTTTTTCTCTCCTTCTTTTTTTTGCCGAATGTAAAATATTCATCAAGACGCGCGCGAGCCCGTTTGGTCATTGATTCTTTTTTCTCCGTTTGTTTGTTTTCTTTTGCATTCAACGATCAATTGGATTTTAATTCAAATTAGATTTTCTTGTTTCGGGGGACATAAATGCGTTGTCGATATGAACGGCGACTGTTTGCACGGTGATTGCAAACATTTAAATAGCCATAACTGTCCGAATAAATTTTTGTAATTTATCTACTGACATTCAATGACATTCAAATTTCGTCAAAAAATTTCGAATATTCTCCTCGCAAAACAAAAAAACAAAAACAAACAGAAACATTACTCGATCCGTTGCAATATTATGGTATTTACAAGTTGGCAAATTTTCAAAAATCCCCTTTTTGCTTCGTTGTTATTGCGTGCGCTCTTTTAACAAGCCTTCACATATCGATGAAATAAGTGGCCAATTTTACGAATAAATCCAACAGAAGAGTTTAACAAAAAAAAACATGTTATTGCTGACTAATGATTGTTTACGGTTTCTAATCTCTGGTTTCTTTTTGTTTCTTTCCAGAATAAACAGCCCAAACACAAACGGTAAGTTTTGAAGAATGTGAAAGAAATTTGTGACGGATTTGTTCGACTTTGCATCTATTTTACGCGCGTGGAAAAAAAGCGATTTTCATAGTTGGTAAAAAGCAAAATTTGTCTCGGCGCAAAAGCCACAGAATACAAAAAAAAATTGAGAAAACGAACTAACTGGAACAAACGTCCATCTGATGAACGAATTGTCAATGGTTCGTTTCGAAAATAATTCCCATAACCATTCGAATAAGTGGTGTTCATTGCATGCAGCATTGAAGAAAAAAACGACAGCTTAAATAAAATATGGAAGATAATTTAAATTTTTAATTGATCCGCATTTCACGGTTCTACACATCGTTTCCAATAATACATAATCGAGAGATGGCGAAGTTGCGTATAATTTTGCATTTTACTGCAACACAATGAATTGCTTTGATTCTGTTTCTGTCGGAGAGAAAGAGAAAAATGTCTCATTTTGTTTTGTTTGTTTTTTTTCTTCTTTTTCTTCTTCTTCATCTTTTCGTGTGGCTCGGTGTAATTGGGAAAATTGAGCAGGTTCACGCAAATTGCCCTGGTGGAGCCGCGTTAATCGTTCCAATATGTCAGCGGACGCAGCACGAAATATAACAATTAAGCAAACAGTAGATAACATACGGCCGGGTTCACATGTGAACAGTAATTCCGGTGTTTGGACGTGGTTGAGTACACGACGACCATCGTCCAGTCCAATCGATCAGATGGGCGCTTCATCTGGTTCACCGGTCGAAAATCACTATACCCACATGATGGACGATGCATACAGTCCCGAACCAACCGATGAGGCATTATACGCTGAACTAGATCGTGAATCCATTCGTTCCGGCAATCCATCATACCAAAATACCGCTTATAGTCAATTCGAAGGCGAACATGATATGCCAATCGTTTCATCGGCGCCTAGTTCAGCATACTATAGGTGAGTGAGAGCAATTGCTTTGAGAAAAAAAAAAACATATAAAAATTGGTGAAGAACAATAAAAGAAAGTTCATATTTGATGAAAACCCATCTCTAACTCGGTTCCGTTTTTATTACTAGATCTAATGCATAATTGACGTGTTTACTTTTTTTTATAGTGATCTATCGACGACGGGAAATAATGTCGGCTCTATCGCCTGCTACGAAGTGGTAGGTAATACCATAGGAATGACACATCTCTCCGCTCCCATGCCAAATTGGGATTGCTCCGATACAAATTCAAATGGACGACGACCACCACGATTGGCTGCAATCAACGAATCAAGTGTACCATCGGATTACGTATAAGTGCCAGTGACTCCCCCAAGATGACAATGGTGCGATGCAATATTTCTGTAACACAGTCCCCCCCCCCCCCCCAACACACGTTTACACATAGATTCTTTTCATACATAAACAAACACACAAAAACTCTTTTAGATTGGAAACAAAAACAAACAAAACAATGACAACAACGATGACTACGACGATAAAAACAATATATGTACTCGAATTCTTCGTTCAATTCTAATGAATTTAATCGACGAGCTTACTTACTTTAGATAATTTATAAAATAAGCAAATAGACACCAATAAGTTAAAGCGTTAAAAAATAAACGAAGAAAAAAAAGAAGTAAAAATGTGATAATGTTCAACAAGTTAGCGTAGCATGGAACATAAAACGATCAAGATCAATGATCTTGTAAAATCCAATAAAATACAATTATTTTCCGAAGAAAAAAAAAACGGTTCACACACAAACACGAAAATAAGAAACAAAATGATCATCCAATTCAATACGAATCGAACACATCAAATGGCAAAACATCGAACATTTTTAGATAAAAATCGAGCTTAGAAACAAACTGAACAAAAAAAAATATGAACTGAAAACACAACCGTTTAATGAAAATGAGGGAAAAAAAGCATACAGAAATCAAATATATATATTTTCGAAATGTCGGAGAAAAAGATGTATTTTATATAGAAGAAGAAGAAAAAAAAAGCCATACAATACACACGTTCATCATTTTATGCTGCTCCTTTGATGCGATCGAAATAAATGGCGTCAATAAACAACACAACGAATAATATAAATATGCTGACGACGGCAAAACAAAAAGAAGAATTCCAAATTAAATGCCATGCGACAAAACAGAGAATCTATTTAATTTATTAACCCAATTAAATGAAAATGAATTAATTGAACGTAGTACAGTCGTACATACACGAACAATCAATATGCAATTTATTGTCGAAATAAAGCCGATCTTTTTTTTCCTCTTAATTCCATAGATTTATATATAAATCATTTGCTGTCATTCCATCGTTATGACAATGATTTATTTGATCTTGGTTAGAGCTTGACAGATTGTAGCTTGGCATTACAATCGCTCGCGAAGCGATTATTATTGGTAAACGAAAGAGCCAACCGCTTCTAAATACCAAAATCAATTTCAAATCATTAGTCACACTCATACAAAGACTTATATATAGAAGACAACAAAAAAAATCCATGCAAAAAAATGAAGCACATTCCATTATATTAGGAAATATTTTGTCCCAAATAAAACAAACAAATGCCAATTTTGAATTTAAGCAAAGTCTTTGTTGATTCCATGTTCATTTTTCTGTTGTCGTGAATTTGATTTTGGAATGAAATGCAAAACAAAGAGAGGAACAAAAATCTATGGTGAAATAAAACAAAAACATTTAACACTTTTCATCATATTTTTTGAATGAAGAATTTGTCTCGAAACTCCCGGTAAATAAATTTTTTTTTAGACAATCAAACATCATTTCCTATGGACTCGATTGAAATTTGAATTTTAAACGATAACTTTACCTCCGAAAAAAGAGCAAAAGAGCGAGACAAAAAGCAAAACAACAAATGACACAGTTAACTTAGAACAAATTTAGATGTATCCAAACGAGAAAACAATCGAATAATACAGGTTTAAAAGACAATTTGAAAGATGAAAAAGAAAAAAAAACACGATTTAAATCAAATATCATAAGCAGAAAGGGGAATAGACACCTGAGTAGGTACTTATTAGTATAAATAGACTGCGAGAAAATTGAATTTAAAATTCTTGTAAATAAGCGAATATTTATATAAAAAAAACAACAACAACAACAGATTTTAAATGCGCAAAATTATTTCAATAAAAATGACAAAGATGAAGAAAAAGAGCGTCAAAAAACAAAATAATCAAAAAGTATTAAAAATCGATTTTTCCACATTTATTTGATTTTATTTCATTTATTTCGTAAGATGAGTTTGTGTGCTGAATGTTGGCGAACGCAATGACGGCGGCAAGCTTATGCAGGCATGGAATGGCATCTTGCGCACGCCGAGGCCCAAAGCAATACACATAAATTAAGATCAATAGCTAAAGGATTGGTTTGAATTGACAAATCAAAAAATCTATGGTAAGTTATACGCCACTTGATTTGATGCATTGATGTATGTTGGTTAGTTTCTTATTCATGTCAATCTGTGCAAATGTGAATATTTTCTTGAAACGCGCTCGCGCGCACACACACATGGTCTCAACGGAATTGCAACGGCAATGCCATTTACCATAATTAAATGATTAATTGTTGTGCCATTTCTTCTTGACATTTCGTATTTTGAAATTACATTAGCCGATAGCCGTCGTGTGTGTATGTTTTGTCCTGGAACAAGAGAGACCGAATAAACAAAGCACATACACTCAATGTGGAACGGGCAATGTGCGATGGCAATGCGAACAGTTCGAGAAAAGAGAATAAGAAGCGACGCAGCGCATCGTTTTTGTGTTTTAGCATTGATTTCTGCTGTTTTTTTTTTCTCGTTCGTTTCTTCATTCTGTGCTCAATTCTTCTGCCAATTCATTTGGCTTTGTGTTGGTTTCATCGCCGATGGACTGTGCTGCTGTTGACGTTCGTTGATGCGTGATAAAATGCAACGATATCACATGACGCGATGTTTATCACACGCGTAATTTGATTTATCGATGACAATCATTTCGTAGATTCATCGGATCTATTGTGTGCGACAGCACGAGATCTGTTGTTACCAACTTGTGTTGGGTTCTTGGATCCATGGGTATGGCAACTTTTTTTTTGATCTTGGCTTATTCTTACGATGCACAAGTGTCAAATTAATTGAAATATACATCATGCTGAATTTGGTCATTCACTCTCTCTCTCTCTCTCTCTTTCTCTCTTTCTTCGGTCGATTCCTTTTTTCACTTCATGCTTGCTGGCATTCATCCAACAGAAAAGAATGCATTTTCATTGTATTTATTAATCACACATATGATATCTCGACTGCGAAGTTTGTTTTGGATTTTTCGTTTAAATTTTACACTTTTTTGTGCGTTGCTTGCAATCGATCAAACTTTATCCGAGAATAAGACAAAACTGATACGAATTGCATGAATGCTTGGTTGTTGCCAAGACCAAGCCGATACGGTAAGTTCTGTACGAAATTGTTCACCAATGTATGTTGGAAATGCATGAAAACAAAATGTTGCTTGGATCAAAACGGCAAAGTGATCCCATGTTGTTCCGAACCCAAACCAGATATCGGCAATTCCGCACGAAATCGGAGAAGAGTTGTAATGTGATGTCGCCGAATTGGCTGAAAATTGGCTTGGAGTCTTGTTTTCGATAGAAAATGAGAAAACCAAAATCTTAGGGCTGTAAGTGGCTCACATTTCTGGATTCAACTAGTGTAAATTTTGCGAAAAATTGAAAAAATCGAAAAAAAGGGTTTGCGCCAACTAAAATCTAACTAAGAAGTAGTTGACACATTGCCAAACCTATGGTACCGTTGGAAAGGGAATAGATATAGGCTACAAAATCCAGTCACCTACCCATTTTGACCCCATTGGGGCTCCCAAAAATGGGTTCAAAGTATAAAAAAAGAAATATCACTCAAAATGGTGTCAACTTTTTTGTCGATTTTATTGCGTTAAAAGATAGCCCATGTCGCGCCGCTTCAGATAAGAAAATAAAATTTCGTGTGAAAACTCCATTCAGTTCGTGTATTTGGCCTCGGCAGGTGAATCATATGTCATTTTCCAGCGTTTTAATGGGGAAAATGGTCGAAAATGGCCTCCTACGATGTTTTTGACTGAGAAAACTGCAATTTTTTTTTGCCAAATTACATTAAAATATGACTTTTTGCTCATCGGTTTACCTATAAATTTGGTCTGAAACCGACTTTTCTTACCGTTTTATTTTCGCGGAGCGTGAAAGAATAAACAAGTGAACGCGAAGAGAATGCGTTGCATTGAATCCATTCGGATTTATCAAGACTGAAATTGAAATAAATGAACGAAAGAATGGATAAAAAAACACACCGAGTTAAGTGCAAACAGACTTTTTAAATTAATTTCTGCTGTTTGAATCAGTCAACTGCAAATTTAAATTTAAATCAGAAAATCTGTTATAATTTTGGAGTGTTGTGTGGATGTTCGTTTTACTCGGTGTTTTTGTGTGTGAGTGTGACGAAGTAGCGAAGAGGGAGCTGAGGGAAGGATATGTCGGATTCAATTCAAATTTTTCTCTACTCAAGTGCAAGAGTCCAGAGAAGAAAAAAAAACAACACATATTCACAGAATTGGGTTAGTTTAGATCTAGCTAGAGATCTAGTGTCAGGCCGTTTGAATTCTCATTTCTGTTTTTCATCATTTACGATGTGTAGCCACGGTACCCAATTCAATGTAAAAGATAATACCAAACAGAGATGTTAGGTTGTTCTGAAAGTGCCTTTCTTGGAATATTCACCTCGTAAATACGTATATATATTTGTGTATGTGTTTATGAGGTTCAAAGGTGAGTACGTATGTGAACCTTGAATGTGTAAATGTTTGCGATAATCCTTATGTTCCTTTTTCTTGCACTTCGTCACTTTGATATGCATTCACTTCTGCCGTGTATGAAATTATTTGTGTTATTTTTTTTCTAACACACTAACACAGACATTCGGTTTCTCTTTTATGACATGCTTGGATATATCCAGTTTCAAAAAAAAATCATTTAGTTAGAGACTTGAGGTCTAATTGAATGGACTTGAGGTCTAATTGAATGTTTTCGAAATAATCTTATCCTTATCTCAATCAACTGGATTCAATATAAATATCTTGAAAAATTCGATTAAAAAATTCAAAATGTAAATTAAATTATCATATATTTCTCTTGTGGAAGTTTTATTGAAGTTTTTATTCATATTAATATTTTTAGGAATTTGTTGCTGTTTCCAATAATGACTTTATTAACATCGTATTCATACGGTTATATGGAATTTATTAGAGGGCCTAATATAACATTGCTGTCAAATTTAGTGGAAAAATCACAAAGCGTAGATACGGTTGTATTAAAGGATCTGTCATCGATTGACCAAAATATTGGCATGAATATTTGTAAATGGAAAAATTTATTTGAAATCTATATTCGTGACAGTGTTTTGAGAGTGCTACCGAGCTGCATTTTACTCAAGTGTCAAAGTTTAACTTATTTATATATTTCCCACAATACCATCACGCAAATTACGTATGATGCATTTGATGGTTTAACAGGACTGCGATTGTTGGATTTGTCATTCAATCAACTCAAAACGTTGCATAAGGATACATTTAAGCCTCTAATTAACTTATTCCTTCTAAATCTACGAAATAATCAGCTTCAAACAATTCATGGCGATTTATTTTATCATAATTCACGTATCCAATGTTTACATTTATCTAATAACGATT